AATAAAAATACCATCAGATAATAATAAACATTTTTACAATTATATAAAATAAATGTATTAGATAAAAATAGAAATTATTTAATATTTAAATGCAATTAAAACTATAAATTATAAATTATTCTATAAAATATAATAAAATTAATATTAATTACCATGAAATCGAGACAGTGTGAAAGAAGCTTAAAATAATAAGATAAAAAGATAGAACCAAATCGTGCATCAGTGAAGAAGTCGAAGGTGGTATCTACAGGGTGGTTCAGTAAAACGAGTGTCGGATAATTAATTCGGGTGACCCCTGTACTCCTTGTATTCCCGATCACGACGGTGGCCGTGGCACCGGTTTTCTTTTTCGTTTCTTTCTAATACTCACACATACACTACATTTATACACAAACATACACAATCTCACAAAATACACACACACACACATAAACGTATACACTGAAATGAAACCTTTTCTTCCCTTCGATCCTTCTTCGTACTCGTCGTCTGTTGCTTTTTATTTTCTGTTTTTCTTTTCTTTTTTCTATCTACCTTCTTATCCCTTCTTTCAACTACTACAACAGCTTCCTCTCCTTCGAGATACGCTGATCGTATCGTGCACTTGGGTAATTTTAAATCAGAAAGTTAATTAGACGCGTTTCACTGTCCTTTATGTCGTCCGTCTGTCCGTTCCTTCGTTCCTCTTCGTTCCTTCCTTCGTAGTAACAGTAAATCCTAAGTAAGTTCAGTATGGGTATTATACTATAGGTAAAGTAGCATGTCTTATGTGCCGGCACGAAGCCCCACTGTGTTTTATATGACCCACCGTCAACAGTTTGCTTTCATTATGCAAACTAATTAAACTCCAATCGACGCTGACACACGAAGCTGACACACGACGCCATCTTTAAAATCTCCTTCTCACCAATGAAACATTTGCACTAAATACATTTGCTTGATCTTTAAGCACGTTCTTATTCTAACCTTTTCATTCTATTTATTTTTTACTTTTGTTTTGTTTTGTTTTGTGCAATGCTTTAAAAATTATAACAGGATACTATGTGAACATATTTCTCAATACAATTAAATAATTTGATAAATTTTTTACGTTGATATATATATATACAGTTAAATTTTGTATAATGTGATTAACACTAGATATACCAGACCAATCATTTTGACTAGTTTTAACGCCATTTTAATTCAAAATGTCTACTTCATGTAACATTTTAGTTATGTAGCTAATTCTAAGCTAATTCTTTAGCTTTTGTTTGCCAGATTTAATAAAAAAAAAAAAAAACGACAAAATTTATATGTAAGATCATTTAATTGTACCAAGTCAGACATATTTACAAAAATCGTCTCGCCCTGCTACTTAAACCGGTTGGTCATCGTTTGCGAAAAGATTTTTATATAAAAATATTATTATTCCATTTGAAAAGATCTGATAAATAAGAATATTCTGATATGAATTTTGATTTAAAATAATTGAACATAATAATACGTAATATAAGTTTGATCTGATTTTGTGAACACGTTGTATAAAAGCAAGTTGCTCTTCCCTCACATAATCTTTCAACAGTATCAAATCCGGTTTATGTAGCATATCGTCACGCGATCGTAACACGGATTCACGAAATAGGATCTATCGATGTTCTGTATTATTAGATCGTAACTATAATAAGAATACTATATTTCGTTTTTAGCTACCCCAGCTACCCAGAGTCCATTGACTTTTCTTCCTTCTCTTAAGAGACGAAGGTGTCAGTTCGTATGTGTTTATATTTGTGTGTGTGTGTGTTTCGAAGCGTAAGAATTTTCACGCTTAGACTTAACCCGTGTGTAGTATAACAAGTCAGTTAATTAATATTCGAACGATCTAGACCGGTAAATCACTCTTGCGTGACGTAGCTATCGTTATTCGTTGTCCATGGTGTTAAACGAAGCGACGTTCTGGAAAAGAAATCGATCGGATTACTTCACCTATGATATCGAAGGTGGGAATTATGACGTAATCGTGGTTAAGGTGGACGTTGACCTGAAACACAACACAAACACAAACACACATACACAAGTATCTTCTTCTGTTCGCAGGAATCCTTCTGGAAACAATTATACGAATTATTTTTCTTTTATTTTTTATTATTATTTTTATTATTATTAAGTGATTTTTCTGTTAAGATTAAACTAATAAGAAAAAGAAATTAACAGGTTGAATGCCACGGGGGTCATCGATAACCGGCACTTAACTTGGCTGTGACGCCATGAGGGCTACCGGTGACCGGCGTACACAGATTAATAGAAATATATTCCACATCGTGGCGCAATAGACAATCCTGGTAAAATTGGTGTGGCATTCAAGCTGTTAAAATAAATAAAAAAGAAATTGAAAGAAATTAAAAAGAGAATTTTGGGCCAAAAAAGATAGACGCATATATACGGTCATAGTATGAAAAGCGTTAAAGTTGGATAATCAATTGCGTGTCGGATGATTGGTAATATTTTTTACTGTGTTTTTGTGTTATGATGTTGATATTAAACCTTAACCACTTATGTGTGTGTATGTGTCTGTGTTGGCAACTATTTCACGGATAAACGTGCAAAAACGGTCTACTGTAACGAAATGAGACGGCACATAAAACGAGAATATTCTGTAAAATCTCGTACTAAGAATTTTACCAAGATATGAATATTTATTTTGTTTATTTTGTTTTTTTAATAATCTTTTATAGCATAAAATGAAGAAAATGCAATAACGTTATGTCTCGTTTCAAACTTACAACAATTTCGTATAATTTCTTTACGAAATATTACAAATTATAGTAAATCGTTTTACAATACTAATTTCATGACACTACCTGTAAATAATTCCAAAAAAAAAAAGGAAATTATATTTTTTAATCTGTGGGATTAGAGATCGAGACAAATGGCTAAATCGCTTAAAGCTTGAAATACATCGACGCTTGGGTTTTTAGAAAGATTCTTGACAAAGGTAGAAAAGAGAGAAGAAGTAGCGGTACGAGAGGTAAAGGTAAAGATGTAAAGGGGGGTTGGGAGGAGGTAGGGGGTTGGGGGGGGTTGTATCTGAAGAAGGCGCGCGCGTGGTTCGCTCGCGATAAATTACGCGATTAAGGCTTTCTCGGGTTCTCGGATATAAACGATGTGAGCGGCAAATCAAACCGTCCGAATGGAATTTTCACGCGTAATTAGCGCCGATTAATCGGATCGTATAAACTCTACGACCTTGTATAATCCCCCCTACTCTCTAAGTCCCACCTAGCCCCACCATATCCCTCCGCAGTCCCTTTTTCGTTTCCTGAATACCACGATCGACGACGTATTTTGTGTTTCTATCTTTTATGTTAACACCTATGATGTCACGCTTGTTCGATCTATGTCATATATTTGAAAATTAAATTGAGAGGTTAGAAAAATCGATATACAATTTCGTTTATACAGGGTGTTCAAAAGAACACCTTGGTAGTATAATGATTAACATACTTGGTTAACATACTTTTAGCATTTTTACACATGAGCGCAAAATTTACATTTTACGATTAATTAACAATTATTTTAACACTTTACTGCACTCTATTTATATTAAAATAGTTATTATTATACACGTGTTATATATAATCCATAAACGGATTTAAAAAAAAAAGAATAGAAAAGCGAACAACTTAAATAAGATTCTACTATTTCATTCATTTCTTTTTTTTCCCATTGACACAGCATACTCTTGTATCTACTTTACCATAAGGCGGCACTTGTGATCTATGAATTCCAGGATGGAGTTTCTTCTTTCTCTTTCTCTCTCACTCCCTTTCTCTCAATATTCTTCTACCCATCTCTCTTAGTACACTTCGAACAACCTCCACATCATTCTGCACTCCGATCTCCAGTATGGTTCTATGAGGCCCCATGACGGCACGATGACAGCACCACAATACAAACGTATAGAAAACAGCCGCCTTTTTTTTCATACTTTTGCTTATGTCATAATGCTCGGATTCGGGAACGTTTTTATATATGTACATATACGTACATATTTATATATATATAGGTATATATGAACTATAGACGTCTCATACGTATAATATAGGTATCCATAAAGGGTACAACTACGTATATACTGGGTGATTCACGAATCGTGATCAGTATAGATTATTATGTTATTAACAATCCGATGGGAACATTTTTTTTATTAAGTATAGGGTGGTTTAAATTAAGCTTTAACTTGATTTTAGCAAATGGTCAATTATTTTTTCTTGTTCGTTTCATGATTTTTCAAAGTTATATTAAATTTGTTTCCAAAATAAATCAATAATTCTTTTCTTACACCTATTTGTTAAAGAATTTCAAGAATTCGATAAATACCATATATCATGTATATATGTATAACATAATACATATACATATATACACTACAATAATACACTAACATATATACAAAAATATTTTTACTCGTTATCAATATATAATAGTTTATTCTATATACTGTATAAATATAATCTTATATTATTTTGTGAGAACACCCTGTATACATATATATATCTATATAATATACAGAAGGCTTGCATGAACCCTCGCATGAACGAGTATAACGTATCAGGATTCCTAGCAAGCTCACCTGGCACTTGACGTGTTTCGTCCTGCTTATACGTTTCTATCCTCGAGAAAAGATCTTAAAAACTTTTCCCTCTTTCTCCTCCCTCCCTCCCTCTCTTTCTCTCTCTCTCTCTCTCTCTCTCACTTATGTCAGCGAATCTTCAAAAAGAGAATGAAATTTGAGAAGAATTTCAACGCACAGGCATATATATATAAGCACAAATGAATTTTCCGGAACAACGAACAAAATGAAAAAGAGATCGGTGTGTTAACCTTAAGGGTTCTTGTTTCAGCGAGTTGTTGCGGTGTTGGTGTTGAAGACCCTAACACTCAAGAAGCTGGTTCGAATGGTGGAGGGGGTGGGAATGGCGGTGGAGTATCCGTTATACCAGATCGAGCTCCATTAGAACTTGATAAGTTACCCCCTTATCACGATGTTGCTCCTAGTCCTGGTGAGTAGTGAATCTTATCATTTGATCCATTTTTCTGGAATTTTTAAAATGAATCCCCCTCGTATTTCAAGGAACCTTTATATTTGAAGATATTTAATTGCCACCTTACTGATAGTTGTTTTTCCTTATTTTTATTTAGGACACAACGTCTGGTCATGGCTTGGTTCAAGAAGAGGAGGTGGTACAACGGGTGTCGTCACTACGCCCTTATCCCTTCCTCAACATAGGAGAGCTATGAATTTACCAGTTGAAAATCATTACACCCACATGCAAACTGATGAAGCACTTTATGCCGAACTTGACTCTCAAGCGGCCAGCTATGCTAGCGATTTTCAGTTGCAAATGAGAGGAAGTTCGGCATACGGCACGACTTCCGCTGGTCAAGACGACGAGTATCACGAACTGGACGCTGCAAGATTGCATCGCCATTACGGCACTAGTAACGGAGATGAATCTGTTCAAAGAGAAACCCTTCGAACACGACACAGTAAAAGGTAATCTTCATTCTTTATTTTTATTATTCTTATTTCATTCGAAAATAAATGTTGTTCATTACTTTACAATGCAAAAATAGATAAAATTATTTTATACTGAAAATCTATAAAAAAATTAGAATATTACTGTTACATTAAATTTTTGTATACTCTTTCTCTTAGTTTGAATATTTTTGCAATTATTTATTAAAATCAATAATAATTAAATTAAACTATTTCCACTATTAATATAGAAATTAATTTGGTGTCTTTCTAAAACAAATTTATTATTCATCTATAGCTGTAAATAATTGTTTAAATCCGTGTAATTATTTTGCAATTAATTGTTATACGAAATAAACACTTGTCTATTAATTGTCAATGTACATTATATATTATATAAATTTTTTCACATAATCAATACTTTGTAGAATAAATATTTAAAGAGTCAATAAAACAATTGTTTGTTGTTACTCACAAGTCTTTCGTCGATCCAACATTTTTCCCAAGTAAAATTCCATCCAGGTGCTTGAAAAGATGATAATCCGTTGCTGAAAGATCAGACGAAACAGGTCAGACGATTAAAGAGAATTTCAACGTTTAACTCAAGTTATTTTTGTTTCGTCGTGGAATGTGATTATCGCAAATTAACAACAATTCGCGTTTATTTACTAATACGAGCTGATGACTGTTTCATTTTCGTACAATCAAATTCAAATTCCTAATAGTATTCAACACCTAACCTAGTTTATTGAACGAATAATACAAAATCCTCTTACTTGACTACCATACAGACACCATAATCTTCTTTTGATGAAGATTTGACTATGGCATATGTTGAGGTTATTTATTTGTATTCAACCACTAACCCAAAATGGTCGACGATTGTAGAAGGAAATCCACTTTTCATTGCACTATTCTTTGCAGGATTCCATCAAATTTATGTCAGAAAAGTAAAGAATTCTTCATTTCTAAACGTCTCAACTTAATCTTCTCGTTTAGTTCATAGGAAACCCATTTGTCTAAACTTTTCATTTTTCTCATGTCACTTAAATGTCAAACAACAATTGAATTATGGACAATGAATCTTTCAACCATTTCTTAAACCGTAAATTTCGAATTTGTTTCAATTAAATCATTCAAAAAATCGTCATCAATGATGAAGGTTCATTCATCAAATTTCTCTACTTTCCATTTTAAATAGAAACGAAATAAAAAGTAATAAATATTATCCGATATAAGTGAGGTTATGTATTAGGTTGACAACAAAATTCCCGTCATTTTTTTTTGTAATTTTAACAAGGTACAATACACACGTTAAACTTTTAAAAAATTTACAAAAACAGGGGGAATTTAGTTGCAAATCCAATATTTAAATTCACACTTATGTTGCATAAGTTTGCATAAGTTAAATTTGATATATGAAAAATGGCCATTTCATATGTAGAAATCTAATAATAAATTACGAATAAAACAATATTTGATTTTAAAGTTACTTTAATATTGAAACACTGTAAAAATTAATAAATTTATACTTAAAAAGTAATTTATTAATTTTTAAATGTTTTTTTTCATTAAATATTATTTTATTCTTATTTTAATTTCGAATGATTATCTAACGAATGTTATTTAATACAAATACTTGCCAGGTTACAAGAACCCGATTACGAGATGTACGAGAACGAGCCACCAACGCCAAATCAATTGCAACACCATCATCATCATCATCACCATCACAACAATCATCATCACCATCATCAAGATTTAAGAGTGGCCAATAGAAATGGCGAACGTCCGTCTTATCAAAATACGGCGTATACCGGAAGTGATGCTGAACCGGATGGACCAACGTTGAGTAGTGCGCCAAGTAGCGCATATTACAGTGATTTGAGTTCAAATTCGGCTAATCAACAAATGCCATCAAACGTGTCATCCTCGGCACCAACAACTACTCAAACGAATCTTCATCTTAATTCACAAAATTTGGAAACGCCGCAGTACAGATTAGCGGCAATAAATGAAACTACAGTTCCCTCGGATTACATTTGAATAAAATAAACAAAAACAAACTAAATAAACATTCTTTAAGAAGATTAGAAAGTATTTTTAAGTATAAGTGTATTGTAATATGTTACACACAGAAACGGTGATTTTTATTCCAGTGATTTCGTTTGTAAAAGAAATTCAACACGTTAAGAACTTAACCTAACTTTTTAACATACCATTTTCGTTTACGTAGTGAAATGACGTCGTCTAATATTTAATATATTTAATATATATATATATATATTAATTTATTTGAATATACATATTTATATACTAAACATTATAATAATATAATATTATAATTATTATAGATTATATTAATATATTATATATATTAATATATAATATATTAATATAATAATTTAATATATGTATATCAATAAATTAATATTCAATATATTAGATTGACCAACAACTCCATACGGTGGTTTTTATAGTTGATTTACTTAGAAAAAAAAAAACCATATGAACTTTATCAACATAAGTCAACCTAATATATATTAAATATATTAAATATATTAAATATGGTAATATTATGCCGTCTGGTGGCACCGGACCGCATATGTCGGACGTGAAAGTGATCAAATATTACATAATCATCAAACAAATATAATTTGTTGAATTTTCTATCGTGGACCATTACACTTAACGTGTTAAATTAGCAAATAAGACAACTTTTACACGTTCACCGTTTACGATTAGACAAATATTTAGCATTCCGATCGATCGGAATTGATAACATATCTTCGTTTGATAATATACAATTATATTATTTGTTTTAAATCAATCGAAGAAATGTATATAAACTTTAATTAACCGTATCGGATGATTCAAAGGATAGAAAAGTAAAAAAAAAAAAAAAAGAAAAAAGAAAAATGAACGAGACGAAGATGATAAAAAATCGGTTCAGGTTCTAATCGATTACCTCGACAACAATGTTCAATTTTGATTTTAAGAGTGTTTTTATATCATCGCATTTAAGGACTAATCCAAGTTTTAACGTCTCGTGTGTATGTGTGTGTGTGTGTGTGTGTGTGTGTGTGTCGTTTCTATCGATTGAAAAATCGCGTCATTGATCGATTTGACACGGTTTTTGTGTGTTTCTCACCTAGCCGGCCTAGAAAATGAAATTACTATCGAAATAAAAACCTAGGTATAGATTTATATATTGGAACACACATATGTTGATAGATAACACGAAAATCAATTTGATAGGCTAGAAAAAGAAAATGATATCAATAAAATAAGATTTTTGTCGAAACGCAAGAAAAAATTTAATTTTTTTTTTTTTTTTATATTTCCAATAGTCCTTCAATCATTCACGACGTATTATCATCAAAGAAAACTTTCATAAGTTTGTAATATATTTTATTAGTCGTACGTAAACGTAAACGTAATGTTTTTAATTGTCTTCTCTTTGATGTCCTAGTTTATTTATCCGCAACATTCTACCAATTCATTCATAATGAATGAATATTGAAACGTGATTTATTCAAAAATTTTACTTTAATTTAAAACAAAAAAAAATGATAAACGACTTTCTCGTATCTTAATGTTTACAATGTTTCTTTTAATTAATTACTTTATTTAAAATATGCTCAAATATACTTTGTGGTTTATATTTAAAAAGCTTATATATATACATATATTTTAAATTTTAAAATAATCATAATAACAATAATTATCTTCTATTATTCAAACAAAATAGAGGAGATATATCTTCACATTCCTCGTATAAAAGAAAAAAAAAATAGAAAAAATAGAAAAAAAATTCGAACAACACAATGGGAATCGAACGAAATCTTAAAAACCAGATAAAAGAGACTAAAAACAAAATTAAAAGATAAAAGAATGAAAAGAGA